AAATAATAATTGAGTTATTAATAAATTAAATTAAAAATTATAAATTACACAATTTGTATACACAATTTAATTTGATCATCGTTGTTGATGAAGCAGGGTATTTTTGAGCTTACGCTTGAAACCATTGTCTATCTCATTGTAATATTTAACAGCACAGTATGAGAAACTGCGTTCAAAATAGCTTGTGTGTGGCGGGGCATTGTTAACGTGGATTGCTTGCGTACATTAATATTATGTATTTGAATATCTGTAAATTAACCTACGAGAGAGGTATATTGTACTTTGAGTGTGTATTATTTTTTGCACCAATGATAGCAAATGATACTTATACAGATTACTGATAATTTAGCCACCGAAGTTTTTTAAAGGTTTGGGAAATATGATCATATTTGCGTTAACCAAATATATATCGACAACATGTATTCTAAATTTTTTGAAGCCTTATAGATGTTATTGAATCTAGATAAGGATAAAAAATTATATAATAATAATAATAATAATAATAATAAAACGTCTTTATTTGTACTATAATAAATAAATACATAAGTACATTGCGGGGCGAGATTTAGCCTGAGGCTATTCTTCCACCTAACCCCTTCATTAAATATATGATAAAGAGTTTTTATAAAATACATTAAAGAAATAAAATAGTTAATTAAATTCAATAAAATACAATAAAATACAATAAAATACAATAAAATACAATAAAATACAATAAAATACAATAAAATACAATAAAATACAATAAAATACAATAAAATACAATAAAATACAATAAAATACAATAAAATACAATAAAATACAATAAAATACAATAAAATACAATAAAATACAATAAAATACAATAAAATACAATAAAATACAATAAAATACAATAAAATACAATAAAATACAATAAAATACAATAAAATACAATAAAATACAATAAAATACAATAAAATACAATAAAATACAATAAAATACAATAAAATACAATAAAATACAATAAAATACAATAAAATACAATAAAATACAATAAAATACAATAAAATACAATAAAATACAATAAAATACAATAAAATACAATAAAATACAATAAAATACAATAAAATACAATAAAATACAATAAAATACAATAAAATACAATAAAATACAATAAAATACAATAAAATACAATAAAATACAATAAAATACAATAAAATACAATAAAATACAATAAAATACAATAAAATACAATAAAATACAACAAAATACAATAAAATACAATAAAATACAATAAAATACAATAAAATACAATAAAATACAATAAAATACAATAAAATACAATAAAATACAATAAAATACAATAAAATACAATAAAATACAATAAAATACAATAAAATACAATAAAATACAATAAAATACAATAAAATACAATAAAATACAATAAAATACAATAAAATACAATAAAATACAATAAAATACAATAAAATACAATAAAATACAATAAAATACAATAAAATACAATAAAATACAATAAAATACAATAAAATACAATAAAATACAATAAAATACAATAAAATACAATAAAATACAATAAAATACAATAAAATACAATAAAATACAATAAAATACAATAAAATACAATAAAATACAATAAAATACAATAAAATACAATAAAATACAATAAAATACAATAAAATACAATAAAATACAATAAAATACAATAAAATACAATAAAATACAATAAAATACAATAAAATACAATAAACTACAATAAAATACAATAAACTACAATAAAATACAATAAAATACAATAAAATACAATAAAATACAATAAAATACAATAAAATACAATAAAATACAATAAAATACAATAAAATACAATAAAATACAATAAAATACAATAAAATACAATAAAATACAATAAAAACAATAAAATACAATAAAATAAATTAAAAGAAAACATTAGCAAAACTATTATAAAAGAAATTTTTTTACAATTTTAAAACTTTTAAAACTTTTACTGGCCTTGTTGGTGGAGTAGGTCATTCTTTACCTTGCGCTTAAATGTACCAAACTGTAAACTTTTTATATTAATGCTCAATGAATTGAAGTGTTTGACGGCATTGTATATGAAACTCCTTTGAAAAGGGGAAGTAGTATGTCTAGGCATAGACAAAGTCATTTGCCTTCTAATATTTAGATTGTGTAGCTGTGTTCGATAGATCAACTTGTTGTTAAGGTATTCAGGACCAGATGAGTTTATTAGATTATGGACAAAAGCAAGTAAATAATAGATATATAAATTTTTTATATCTAACCATTCCAGTTCCATGAACGACTCTGAAATATGATCATATTTACGAATACCATAAATGAACCTGCAGCAAGTATTTTGAACTTTTTGAATGCGATTTGCTGTGACAACGTCAAGACAAGGGTAATAGACAATAGCACAATAACTGAGTTTACTTATAATAAACGTTTCACATAGATATTTCTTCATTTTCCTGTTAAGTATAAACTTATTTGCATAAAGAAGTTTTAAACGATGGTGGCATTGGCTAAGTAAAAGATTTACATGTTTTACAAATTTTAAGTTTTCGTCCATAATCAAGCCAATATTTTTTCCACAGTTTACAATGGGTATGAGTTCATTATTAATGGTAAGACTCAAGTTGTTTTTTTATATTTTGTCTGTAACTATGTGGGCTAAAAATTAATAATTTAGACTAAGATGGATTAATACGAAGATTATGTTTTAAGCAATTCTCATTTATGTTGGAAAGATCTCGATTCATTCTGGTCTTAGCTCTAACTACATCTTGTGGCTTGAAGCGGTGTACAATTTGGGTATCATCAGCAAAAAACTGCAAACTGCTCGACTCCACATTTAGTTCTAAATCTGAAGTGTAAATTAAAAATAGCAAGGTTCCCAAAACCGATCTTTGGGGAACACCTGATTCGAAGAGTTGAGGACTGTTGATTGATTACAAATTTTTAAAAGCGATTTTTTAAATACGTTTTAATGAATAGGAGAGGTTTGTCAGTAAATCCATAATAGCTGCATTTAGAAATTAAGAGTAGATGATTTATTGTGTCGAAACCTTTGGTAAAGTCGAGCAGAGCAAGTGCTGTTGCTTCTTTACTATCTAGGGCTGTAATAATGGTATCTGTTAGATGGCAAAGAGCTGTGGTTGTACTTTGTTTTTTTGCGAAAACCTGATTGGTGAACCGGCAATAAATTGTTGACACTAACATATTTATAAACCTGATCGTACACAATTTTCTCAAGAACTTTGGATAAAATGGGAAGTAGACTTATTGGTCTTAATTCAGTATGAGAAATAGGGTTCACAAATTTTTGGAAGAGGTATTACTACTGCTCTTTTCCATTGATCTGGAAAGTAGCCAGTTTCTAGGCAGCAATTTATAATATGGGTCAAATACAACGAGATTGCCGGTAAGCAAAGTTTAATCATTTGAAGCGTAATTTCGTCAGAACCACTCGAATTTGACGCAATACTATTTATTACCCTAATTATAGTATCTTCATCAACAAGTGTAAACTCAAATTTTAAGGAATTATTAACGCGATTAGTTCGGTAGTGTAATATTGTTTTCAGCACATGCTTCATTACTATTTTGAAAAATAGAAATAAAAGTATCATATTTTGTAAGGATCTGCTAAGTTAGAGGGGATATATTTATCTTTATTACTCTGTATACCCATATCCTTTAATGTTTTGAAAAATTTAGATTTATTTTGTTTACTAATATTTCGAAGATAGGCTGATTTTTCGCTTCTAACGGCATTAAGAGCAAAGTTGCGCATCCTTTTATATTCTTTCCAAGATTCGTAAGATTTGTTGCGTTTAAATTCTAATAAGGCCTTGTCCCGTTCTTTAAGAATTAATTTAATATTTGGTGTCATCCAAGGTGCATAGGTTTTGCTAACACGTATTTGGCGATATGGACAATGAGCGTTAAATAAGTTTAAAATATTTCTTGTTAAGAACCGAACTTTGCTTTCAATGTCATTAAAGTAAACAATTTGATCCCATGGTATCGTAAATGGATCATATCGAAAAGTATCTAAATTTAAATGGTTAAAATCCCTGAAAGTTACAAATCTTTCTTTTTTGACACAAGCATCAATTTTAAAAATAGCGTATGCGAGACGATGATCGGAAAATAGATCTGCGTTAATTGTACCGCTTTTTAAACATGTATTTGTATTGTCAACAAAAATAGGGTCAATCAAGGTCGCTGATGTTTCGGTTTTTCTAGTAGGTTCTGAAATCACCTGTTTTAATCCATAGGCATAGAGGCAACTATTTATGTCGTTATTTGGATTCAAGAGATCAATATTAACATCACCAAGAACAAAAATATTTTGATATTCTGGTACAACTGATGTCAGCGCGTTTTCGATCAAATCAACAAAAGCGGGAATAGAGCCTTTTGGAGGACGATAAAAAGCACAAACAGCATAATATGAATTATTAATCTTAATTTTTATCCATAATTGCTCTAAGTCCGAATTAGCATCCGATGAAACATACTGGCAAGTAAATTGGTTTTTTACAAATATACCAACTCCACCTCCACGACCAGTCCGATCATGACGGAAAAACTTGTAACCATTAATTTTTATAAATGACAGTGTATATCCGCGGCTAACCACGTTTCTAATACTGCAACTACATCAAAGTTATTATCATATATTATTGAGCAAATGTCACTAAAACCAGACAATAAAGACCTAACATTGATATTACCTATTTTAATATTACTGTATTTAGTTTTGTTATTTATAAATTATGTTAGATTTTAAGTTATTTATATGATTTTAAAGGACCCAACAATTGTCTCTTTGGTACTATGGTTAACGTCATGTCTGGTTTTATGTTTAATATTATAGTTTACACAGTCTATACATTTTTTAAAATTTGATCCACACTCATTTATAGAATGCTCTTTTGAGCAATGAGGACATACTTTTTGATGTTTACAGATTTTGGAGATATGGCCTATACCTGAACACTGATAGCATCTAATTACTCTTATATAATCACTGACTGAACAACGTTTCCACCCCAGATACAGGTACGATCTCTCCAGAATTTGTTTTCGCAGCTTAGGACATACTTCTATAATAACATCTTGGGATTTGCTATGAGAATATTTCAAAATCGTAACTATTTTTAGATCTTCAGTAGTAAATGGTTCCAATTGATTTATAGAAAACATATTTTTAATAATATCCTCATGCGACTCCAAACTACTATCTACTTGCATATGTTTTATGATTAATCGGGGATTATATTTCTGAGACTCACTTATGTTATATGAAGATCCAACCTTTTTTTGAATTGACGTCTTTAACTTCTCTAGCGATAATTCATCCTCACAATTTGGTACAACACCCTTTTTTATCTGTTTAGTGCTATTAATGCAAACATTTAAATCAGCAAGTTTGACACGCCTCTGGATATCGCTAAGAATATCTATATTGGAATTTTCCTTATTTGTACTTTTTATCACCAAAGTAAACGGAGTTACTTTATTATTCATCGTTTTTTGAAGAACATTACTATAAGAAACAGTAGAAGTGGTACCAGCATGTATTGGTAAAAATAAATTGTTTTGAGTAGCAATTTTATCAGACAGTTCGAAGTTGTTTTGTTTCAGGAGCTCATTATTTTGTTTAAGTTCAGTGTTTAAATCTATTAAAAGTTCGTTTTCACGTTTTAAGTAAGATACTTGGTATTTGAGTGAAGTGAGATCATCTGGTGTATTAGTGTTATCAAAATCTGAACATGACTTACATTTCCAATCTCTTCTTGTTGTTAAAAACAGTTTCGCTACTTGTTCGAAGCACTTGGTATGTAACCTTACACTACATTTATCGTTAGCACATTTTATACAACTTTTTCTGATACTACTTAGACATGTATCACATAATTTTTCGCCTTTTTGGTCAGAGCGATCAGCAGGCAGGTCTGTGTCGCCCGCCATCTTGTAAAGATCTCACAAGAAATTTTGCTAAGGATTGGAGTCTCACATAAGTAGTTTTTCATATTCATTAAGAGAAAATCTTTATTAGCGTGTAGAAGTTTGAGAATTAGATAACATTAAGTGGAAAAACTGTTGATATGTATTGAAGATTCTTATCCAGTAGTAAACCCAGACTTCTGGCTACATGTACCATAGGAATTGTCTCATCGTCAAGTTTTACCAAAAAAATATTTTTAATATAAGATCGAGATTGTTAGATGGATTTAAATTCAAATTATAATCCACAAAAATGTTTTTATTCTAGCTAGGTCCTTACTAACCGCTTTACTTGCTACCTCTGTATTAATGGAATTAAATAAATGGTGTAGTTGGGTATCGTCAGCCAAAAACTGGATTTTACATGTCAGACTTTGTTCGCACAAGTCTGACGTATACAGAAGAAAGAGTAAGCGACCTAGGACGGAGACCTGTGGTACGCTTGATTTTATGGACTCAAATGCAGATGACTGATTATTTATTTGAACTTTTTGTGAACGATTACTAAGATAAGATTTAATAAAATTAAGAGATTTGACACTAAAACCATAGAAACTACATTTAGAGATTAATAGCAGATGGTTGAGGGTGTCGAATGCTTTACTATAGTCAAACAACACAAGAGCTAAAACTTAACTATCATCCAATCCAGTTATGATAAAATCAGTTAAGTGACATAGAGCTGTGTTCGTACTGTGTCCTTTCCTAAAGCCTGATTGGTGTAAGGGCAATATTTTATTTGAAGTGAGAAAGCTATAAATCTGTTTATACGCAATATTCTCTAAAACTTTAGAGAGAACCGAAAGCAAACTTATAGGCCTCAAATCGTTGAATGATAGAGGGTTATTTTTTTAGCCACTGATACAACTGCTTTTTTCCACTGATTAGGAAAATAACCTTGTTCTTAACAACAGTTAATAATATGTGTAATATACGGTAAAATGACTGGCATACATAATTTAAGCATATCCAGAGAGATGTTATCTACTCCACTGGCATTCGATTTATCTTCAACAAGTGTTTTCAGAACAGCATCCACGTCTACAATACTAAATGTAAAATTATTGTTTTTAACATATTTATGAGTACGGTATTAAGCCGTTTTTTCACTACACTAGACATTGCTGTTTTGGTAAACCGCTACAAACGCTTCATTTATTTTGAAGGGGTCCAATAACTCGTGAGGTATGTCATTGTTTTTTGAAACTTGCACATTCATTGTTTTTAAAGTTTTAAAGAATTTTGACACTCCCACTTACGTAACGTAAATATGCAGCTTTTTCATTACTCCGTGTCGATTGCGATTCTACTATAGCTCCACGGCCGCTTTTACAAGTTAAGTTTTAATACACGTAATTAAATTAGTTTCATATGGGTTAATTAAAATTTAATTATTTTTTCAAAATAAGGACAAAAAGAAACAAAAATGCGATTCAATATAAAAATAGCTCACTTTAATATATATTTGATCTTAATAACTAAAAAGTATACTGACAATTAGTTTGACCAAATTTTCACTTAGGTAAAATTTTAAAAATAATTGTAGTTGTGTATCCAAAATATGAACTATGATTGATGAATTTTATTTATTTGCAGTTTTCTTACTACCCAGAATGGATATGAAACATATTCGTTCAGTTGAACACAATAGCATTCTTTTTCATTTCGTAGTCTCTGGATATATATACTAATATCCATGTGGGTGTAGAAAAAAATGTAGTCGTTATAAAACTTGCAGGATATACAATTAGAGAAAATCGTCTCATCAGCAAGGAGGTTAAAAACTTCGGTGCGGACATTATTTGGAGTAGGACTTTCTGACAAGCTTAATTATGTTTCGTAATAGTTCGTGCGTTAAGCAGCTGGTTTCCGGTGCGCGTCCTCTTCATTTTTGGGATTTATTCTTTTTCGTTCGTTCTAATATCCACTATGACTAATGGTTTTTCTCTTGGAGATGAAAGAGCAAGGGAGTCAGTGACGTAGAAATTGTGAATAAAACATATTTTTTTAACAGATGCAATACAAAATTATATTGTCTCAATTATTTTCGTTTGGGAAATAACATAATTTTGAGAACACAAAGTAATCATTCCGTATCAGATTCTTATTTACTAATATATCGTAGTAATCTCTTAATTAAAAATTAAATAAACAAAACACAAAGCCATATGTCATACAAAATATGAGCAGCCTTTTCCCTTAAAAAACATCTACTTTTCTGGCTAATACCACAACAGGTATTAAATTATATCCAAAAAAAAGACGTTAACTATATTAATAAATTTATGTGTGCCATAAAATATCAACTTGTGACGGGTTTATTGCGTGAAAATAGTTCCGAAGTACACGTTTTATAAAAGGAGATCTTAAAAAGTAAAACTTTAGAAAAAATTTAACAAAATCTGTTAAATAACGCACAAATGAAATAAAAGTTAAAATAAATTTGATTGATATAAAAACCTATTTAAAAAGTATTAGTAAATAAACTCAGGATTAACTAAACTGTAATCTGATAAGGAACGTACAAGTAGAGTAGAATACATTGGTGATTCTACATGCAAAGATTTGCCTCCTAGACGTTGAACCTGGAATTGGAGTTATCATCATCGGAATAGCATCCAGACTAAGATAAGTTTCCATCTAAAAGTTTACTTATAAGCAAATAATATCACAAAATAATATTAATACATAGTCGATACATGAACGTACATTAAATGCATTCATATTCACCTTATATTCAAACAAGTAAATAAAGACAATTTTAAAGAATGAAAAAACAGAAAACTAATATAAGTATTATTTTAAGTATTTAAGTATTATTCTAAATCACAAAATAATATTTTCTATTGAACTGAGAGTAAATAGGTACACTAGTGTTACATCTAATAACAATTCCATACAAATTAGGTGTAAATTTTGATAACTGTGCATATATAATGGACTACAGAAAATTAAATATAGATGGCAGTGCACTACTTTAATTAAATAATTACCGTTAAATAACTTTATTGTTTTACCTTTTACTAGTACGGGAAAATATTTAAATTGAAAATTATGTACAACCCGGTATATGAAAGGTATGTTTTCCCAAATACACGAAATTAAATTAAATGTTCTGGTCAAAATATTAAAACGAAAAAAGCGGTAATTAATTAAAACGGAGTAATTAATTTTTAATCAAACGGCTGACCAACTGAGAAGTTTATAAAAATAAAAGAAAACGGTTAGTTACGACACTCCCTGTATATGGAAAATAAAGTTTACTATTACCACAGTTAACCCACCCAACACGTAAGTTCAGAAAAGGAAAATCTACTATAAAATGGAACAAAGTTTTTCGGAACCCCTTGTATCTTGGTCTCGAGTGATCGGCAGTGGCAATTTTCGTCGAGTAAGAATGATATGAATTTACGCGGTGTTTGGACAGCGAAGACGATGGTGATAGAAAAGATTATTTTGAGATTTGCCAAAGTCGATCAAAACGGTGTGTGAATTAATTTTACAGAAAACGTCGGCCTTCGTTCAATAATTAGTTGTGGACAGGGAACGGAATGATTAAAATACAATTGAATTAATAAATAAAAGAAAAGAAACATGAAATAAAAAATACTGGGCGCTTCTTAAAAGAGATTGCCAACGGTTTCCTATTAAGGGATGAAACAAAAATCCTGGGTATAAATCAAAAATTTTTCACTTGTCGGACAGTGTCCCAAACTAATTAAAAATAAAAAAAATAATTTGCGGTTTCCTACCTTAGAAAAATAAACGGGGTTGTTCAGCAGTCTAACAATATCACGGTCACTCACTAGTCGGTAGAAAAGAGAGAAGAGCTTACGATTGCCGGAAATCAAGAGAGCGTAATTTATCCTTTTTCGCTGGGCAAGCTTGAAGACCAATAAACTGGAGTCTGGAATACCACCACTACAGCCGACTGTTTACAATTTAAAAATAAAAAAAAGTCCTTCTAGTACCTTGACAAATAAAAGTAGATAATTGGTACGAAATCGACTCTACAAAATGCCCATTCGGATTTCGGCAAATATAGGAATATTTTAACCTACGAGGGTACTCGCAATTGTTGAAAAACGGTAATTCCTGGGAAACATGTCCTCAGGTGGGAGTTAATTAAAATGTACATTTTAAAAATTAATTAAAAATAAAATTTGCCAAAATTTATATCTCATCAAATTGATATTAAAATATACACGAAATTTAGATTCAAAAATAATAGCTGACTATTATCAAGGTCTTGGTATATTACCATTGATTATTCTTCGATATCCTAGAAAATACGATTCACTTCGACTAACGAAGACGACCAATTATTCGTTTGTAAATTTATGAACAAAACATATTTCTATTTATAATCTTTGTATTACATAATTGTTACATTAGTTATCAATATATAAATGTTCCATATTAATTTCTCTCTGTTTCAGCGAATATACCTCATTAATTTCTGATAGCGAACGCCACTGAAGAAGCCTCTAAGCGGATTCTCACCCACGACGTCCTTTGGGACACAAAACGGTTTGTTCGTATCCACCTTGTTGGTCCACTCACATATTTCAGGGATGTTTCCGGATGTACAAAAACGCTATTCACTATATTAACCCGAATTAGGAGAAAATCTTAGTTCAGGAACTTTTTGATTCTACTCTAAATCCCTCTGAAACCTACTAAGGTAAATTTGATTGGCTTAAAAGGTTAGCTCGTCCAGGCCAAATAAAATGCTTCTAGTGCATAAAATGTTTCAAAGTAATTAGGTAAAAACATGAAAGAAAAATAAAGTTTCAGAGGGTAAACATTTTTGTGTAGGGGTGGATTTGAATTGTATGAAAGATGTCATGCACAAAAAATACTTATCCCACAAAGGATTGAGTATAAGCTAACAAAAAGAGAGAACAAAATCGTACCTTAATAAAAACTAACTGAAAACTAACTGCTCGTATCAGTGGGGTATTGTGTAACTTGTGCAAAAAACTGAGAATAGAATTTTTTATTGAATGTCATAATGTTACATTTAAAGGAAGTTTATTTTTAATAATTGATGAAATAGCTTAAAGTCGTCTGCGTATATTAGGCTTTTAATTTCAATATAGGATATCAGATAATTAATAAATAATGTAAAAAGAAGTAGTCCATAAACAGAGCCTTGAGGTACTCCTTATGTTTAATAAAAGGTAGCTGATCTATATCGAAGGCACCGTAAAAATTGTGATGTTTAAAAGATATCTATCCAGATTTATCAATTTTAATTTAAATCCAAATCTTTTAAGATGAGTTAGCAGTCTTACTCAAAATAGATTATTCTGACTGATTGATCACTATGCTAGTTAGGCTAAAAAGTAAGGCCTGGTGTATAAAACGAAATACGATTGTAAAAGAAAAATTCAAAAACTCTCTAGAAATGATGTAAAACTGTATTTGGACGATAGTTAAAAATATTATATTTGCAAGCTTTCTTTAAAATGGGATATATACCGCAAGCCAGGAAAAATTCGACAGGTTTTTGACATATTGTGATGTTTGTTTATTTTAAAATAATAGTTTATTTATTAATAATTTATTTTAAACAAAACTATTCTAATTTATATAATACTTAGACACTAACTCACAATTCTACTTTATTTTTATTTCAAATATCTTTGAATTGTTCACTATTTATATTCACAGCCAATAATTTATTCTCAACTGTCTATATACAACTGACTGCCGCGTTATTCCTCCACCAGTATTTATATACAAAATTAAAATTTTGGCGAAGGTACTAGAATGTTCTTCGTCAAAACTTTAAAAATTACCCCATTCTTTCTTGAATAGTAATCGGACGCGCCTTCGCCATAGTCGTCACATATGTTTGGTCTCAAGGGGTTTAGTTATGTATGATAATCGAACAAGTTGAGCCTCAAACGCCAAATAAGACAGAGAGGACCTTGGAGGATTAGAGCATGACTGAATAATGAAATGGCTCACATTACAATATATTTAGCCTCGCCCAACAAAAACCGTTGAATCTTATGCCAGTGTAACACTTGATGTCTAGGCTTTCAACCGCAACAAAATCAGCTTTGTTTCCCATCCCCTTTTCTGTTTTTTTTTATGTACGCGGTACATGGGGTAATTTAGAAACCCTATGGTATTAACGAATGGTTGAACTTGGAAAGCTCCTTGGTAACTTCGACAACAAAAAAAAGTATTACAATGTCTACAAATCCATTTGTTGCAGGTTGCACACTTAATTCAAGCCTTTTAAGTATTGAACCCAGAATAATCTAACAAGGAAATTCAGCACGATACACAGGAAAGACATTCATAATAGGGGTCATTCGAACCAAGGTTACAAGTGCCACAGATCCACTTCAAGCAGGAGATGCAGCAGATGTAATTATTTTTGCCAGTGTAATTTTTGTAATGGCTGTTCCACAATACGCAGTAAGGGTCAGTATTGGTATCGGTATTGCTGTCAATATTTCTGCCTGTTAGACGACGTGACGTTGAGGCTACTGTCCCCGTGATTTTTACGTTAGGGTTAAGGCACGTTATCTTAATTTTTTTTTTAATTGGCTTTGTTGGCAATATTCTTTTTAGACAACTTTGGTTGTAGAACATTCAACTTCGATGTCTGAAGAGCTGGGTTCCATAATAGCTGCTCCATCTGTTAAGTCCCTCGGCATCTGTAGAATTGGTTCCATTTTCATTTAATCACCTGGTATTGTGGTAACTTTCTTTCCATTTTTATAAACTGCTACTTTTTCTTTATAATATCGAGATTCCTTCAGAAACTCCAATAAACTCTTGTCCTAAGACCTTTTCGAATATTGACTGTGCCGATACAGATTTTGCTAAAATGGTTTCAGAGCTGAAAGGGCTTATGTTTGTTGATAAAAATCCGGACTATAGATTCTTTACTGATGTGTACCCATCACCAGTTTAACAGTGACGGGAATTACTTCCTCGGGATGGACGCTTTTCAACGCGATTCCTTTCTTCAGCCATCCAAAACCTCCCTCCACTTTCGTTTCATTGAAGCAGAAATGCTGACATCCAGAGGTCCATTAAGTGTATTGAGTTTTCCTGGAGGGGAGTCATGTAAATATTATTGTCTAAAACAGCTTCTACAACGTGAGGTGAAAAAAGTCATACAACGTTATTGCCTATTACAATTTTAAATTCCTCTGTAGTGCAATTTGGTTCGGTGTAATATTTCAAAACCTCTCTTTACCCACTTAATGCTAAGTCATACACTGTCCCTTTAGGGTATATTGACCTGAAAAAGACGAAAGTTACCATATAAAACGGATAGGGCTCATGTGGAATGAGATAGGGGGCTGAAAGTGGATTTTCGATCGATTTTGGGGCCCTACGAGAAAACTGAGAAGGTCTAGAAAAATTTCGAGGTAATTTTCTGCTTTTCCAGACCCAAATACCCAGTAAGATTTTTCAAGGTATTTTTAGTTAAAATAAAAAAAATAATATGTCCAAAAAAAAAAGGCGTGAAAAACTGAAAGTCTAACTTCTAAAGGAAAAATCGCACAAACTTTTAGAGGACATTTTATTTCTTTTCAAGACGTCTCCAGGAGATGGGTGCAGATAAACCATATCTGGGCCCATTTTATTTGAGATATGACCAAAATATGATGGATGCTCGTTCACTAGAATTTTATGATGTTTGTTTACTTAAAAACAACAGTTTATTTATTAATAATTTATTTAAACATTTATTTATTTTTTAACACAACTATTCTAATTTATGTATACTTTGAATGTCTTTAAACTGTTCACTCTATTTATCTTCACTGTCCATATAAAAACTGATACAACGTTATTCTCCACCAATATTTATATACCAATTTAAAATTATGGTGAAGGTTCCAGAACGTTCTCGCCAAAAATTAGAAACACTATCACGTTATAGTTGGAATAGACTAGAAATAGTATCCCGTTGACTCTGGAATGTTCGCGAAAGTACCTCGGCCATATTCGTCACATAGGTTTGGTCTTAAGGAGCTTACTTATGTATAATAATCGGACAAGTTGAGCCTCAAAGGCCAAATAATACAGAGAGGAACTTGGAGGGTTAGAGCATGACTAAATAATGAAATGGCTCACATAACAATATACCGTTAGAGATTTTGGAGCCCTACGAGAAAACTGGGCAAGGATCTGAAACTTCATAAATATCGACAGTTTGGGAAACATTTTTTTTTTTTTTAAATAGAGATATTATTTGAGATATGACCGAAATATAGTGGAGGTTCGTTCATTAAAGAATAAAAAGGATATAATAAACTGTTATATATTACATAAAATCGTCTAAAAATAAAATACTAAATAATTTAAAACGTCATTAAGAATAACATATATATTTAAAATACACTTTTATAATATAAAAATACTATTTATTATATGAAGCTCCATCAGTACTAACTACAACCTACCAAATAAGACACACAAGCACTCTTAGATGACCGCTGGATGACCAAACTCTGAAAAAACAAAACAAACACGAAGAAAGATAATATAAATTATTAAAACAATATTAAATACACCAATTTTATTAATAATTCAGTGAAAATCAAAAACAATATATAATTGTTATGGCCCATTTCGAATATATTTCGAACAAATGTCAAATTAAATCGAAATCTACAACATTTTTAGTCCAAGCAATTTTCTATCAAAATTTTAAAATAAAAATACGTTCTATATAATAGAATCATTGACCAAAAGAGAGTACGACCATGTCAAATATAACCTCTCTAAAATTAATCCTAATCTGTAGGCGAGGGGTAACCAAATCTGCGATATAGAGGGGACCAAAAATATTTTTTCGTAAAAAAAAGCACAAAAAACGTTTCAAAATTTATTTCGAATCAAAATACACACAAAGAACACAAAAACTCCTGCGGCACGTCGAAATAGGGCTCCTCGAGGACTAATCCGGGCCCCAAAATCCTAAAAAAAAATAAGAATTTTAGACCCGCGATTTTTTGCACAAATCGTAGCACACACTACATTAAATACGACTGAATAATAAAACACTCGAATTACAGTCTGTTCGCTATACTTACGCGGGTTTCGGATTAAAAATGTTATTAGTATTTCCAGGTAAGTACCCGAAAGTTTGACCTGTTCTTTGGGGAAATATCAACTAGTTAAATGAAATGAAAAATATTGTACAATTTTTTAATTGAATAATAATGGAGAATCTTATGTATAATTAAGAGCAGAATTAAACTTCTTCATTAATGGAGTCTAATGTGGCTATTATAAATCTACTAATAATTTTATAATACACTTCACACAGAAAATATGGTCTATGTATAATAAGAGGGTTATTTAGCTCAAATAAAAATTTGTTCCATGTAGAGAATTTCAAATGAAAAATAAAAAAATTGAACTTGCCAACAAAACATTATCAACCAAAATATCATAATCGGCATCATCATCACTGTCATCACCATTAATTGTTATTATGATTGGACTTATTTCGTTTATTTTATTTTCACGAGTTCACCAATCTTCTATTAGTTTCTCGCACTTGGATATGCAGTTCCGCCACACTTCTGGAGTTGTAATTAAAAGTGCTTTTCGCCAAGTTTCCCGAACTGCGTCGTCACTATAACCATTAGGTTGTCATAATATTGTTTTGTTATTCCCCATATATATTCGATGGGATTAAACTGGCAATGATACGGTGGCAGACGTAAAACTTGATGACTGTAACTTTCAATAATCTGATCCACAACAAAGGTTTTGGGTTTTGCGTGTATATTTGCTAAGCGTAATAATTCTGAGTTTAATATATATTGAGAAAATGGTGTATGCTCCTTTGTCAACCATTCTTTAATTTTATCGCCATATTCTTTAATTTTTTCGCCATACTTTTATTTAATACTTGAGAATTGTATGGTGCATTGTCTAAACTAATTACACTAGGCTCACTTAAACCTGGGAGAAGTTTTTCATGCAACCATTTTACAAACATTTCTGTATTAATATTATCGTGACAGTCACTGGATTTTGATTTAGATGAAAATGTTAAATCAGCACCTTCTATAAAATCCGATTTCCCTCCTGTATGTTTGATGGATTTTACGTTATCAACTTGCCATATTCTCTTGGTTGCACCCCTAGAAAATATCCATGTTTCGTCTAAATATATATAATTCGCCCCTTCTTTTTTAAATTTAGAATATGTTCTTAGAAAGATAATTCTCTTGTGCACGACAATACTTCTTTCACAAAGGGCCTTTCTGTTATCCTCCTTTTGAAATTTGAAACCCAAGTTACGCCATAGACTTGTTCTGCCAATGTCGTCAAATTTTCTATCTATTAACTCCGAGAGAATTGTATTTAAGGTCACATGTTCCTTGTTGGCCCTCCTTCGATAAATGGTATCACGAATTTCAAATTTCTTTCTATCTGGAATATCTTACGTTTTCAATGATGAGCGAGTTTTGCGGTGATCTTCTTTCGACAGTTCACTATTGTGATTTTGTAATACTCCTCTTAATTTGGTTTTACTAATTCCTAGAGCATCGCATACGCGTTGTTGTACAGACATTACCGATTTTAAAGGACCGCCGTTTTCTTTTTTATCCGTAAAATACTTACGTACACTACAAATTAGACTATCTACATCTAACACACGTCTAGGCATTTTTAAAATTTCCACTAAATTAACAATATACATAGAATGTCAACATTTGCAAATAATCAATTTAACTGCAATATTTGTAACAAATTTAGTACCTACCCTAATGTTATTTTAATTAAAATCTGACCATTAGGGCAATTTTACCTAATTTCTTGGGAAGAGGCTTATTTGAACTGGTTGTCAATGACTAATTTGCATAATTTTGTTAATCCGAAACCCGCGTAAGTATAGCGAACAGACTGTACCTGATATTTTTTCAAAAAAAGCTGAAAAAGGTACGGCTAGAACCCAAAGCAAACGCCGGCCATTTTGAAAACCACCTATCCGAACCAAAACCAGGTTATCCAAACTAGATAGAGCTATAAAAAACTATAAAAAAAAAACAAAAAGGAACCAAAAATAATGTAAAATTTTTAATTAGACCTCTAATCCAAAAACTAGCAATTTTCCCAATTTTTGAAAGTTAATTTAATTATAAATTAACATAATTGTTTGCATTCTCCTCTATCGTAGGTTACACAGGCCATCAATTTAGTTTTTCTCGGATTATGTACCATTATAGAAGATAAAAACATGTTAATTTAAATTATAGAAACTGAATAATTTAAATATAATGTAATCTACGCGAGTATAGCCGCGAGTAAAACGCTTTAGTATGAATACAAACTAGCCTGCTAAAAATAGCGATAACATAACATCTTGACGATCTTTGCCAAACGTTTTTGATCAAAATCCACTCAAGCGTAAATGTTCCTAACAACCAATATTAATTAATTCCCGAACATTATCTCAAAAACTTTCAGCAAGCCAATAAACATCGACCGCAACTTGACTCCAAACTGCGAAGTTTCAAACTTGTAAATAAACTATAAACTCCTAATGAGCGCCCATCGCGACAAACTATTTTAAACGAACGTTTTAAGTAAATTGATGATTCTGGCGTATCGTGTTTTCCAGAAATTATCCGCATGGTGGTCGCGCAGCCACGTCGAACTTGCATGAGCATTTATGAATTATAAATTCGACAAGAAGGGTTATGGTGATGAAGAATCCCTTGGGAAATTAAATAGGGT